CGAGTGAGGCCCAGGTGAGGGGCGGGCGGGGCAGTGCGGGGAGACGGAGGGACCGAGGGAGGGACGGGAATGGAGACAGACGGGGGAGCGATGGACAGATGGAGACACAGAGCGGCCATGGGGAAGTAGAGTCCCAGGGCGGGGTGGAGACCGGGACGGGCAGACTCTGGCGGAGAACCGGAGAGACAGCAGGCACCGGTGCAGACGTGGGGAAGGCTGTGAGACCCTGCCGCTGGAGATGAGAAGTGTGGGGGCCGAGTCACACAGGCCCCCCGCCCGGGGAGAGCCACACTTGCCCCAGCCTCCAGGTGCACCAGGCCCCATTTTTTTGTTTTGTTTTGTTTTGTTTTGTTTTGTTTTGTTGTTGTCGTTTGGGGTTGTTTTGAGACAGGATCTCTCACTGTCACCCAGGCTGGAGTGCAGTGGTGTGATCTCAGCTCACGGCAGCCTCGACCTCCTAGCCTCAAGCAATCCTCCCACCTCAGCCTCCCAAATAACTGGGAGTACAGGCGTGCACCACCTTGCCGGCCTAATTTTTGTATTTTTAGAAGAGACAGGGTTTTACCATGTGGGCCAGGCTGGTCTCGAACTCCTGAACTCATGCGATCTGTTCTCCTCAGCCTCCCAAAGTGCTGGGATTACAGACGTGAGCCACCGAGCCCAGCCCAGGCCCCATTTAATCCTCTCGATGTAACTGAGTCTCCGAGGTCACTACTATTACCATCCCCGTTCTACAGTGGAGGAAACTGAAGCTCAGAAAGGCGCCACTTTTGCCGGGCGCGGTGGCTCACGCCTGTAATCCCAGCACTTTGGGAGGCCGAGGCGGGTGGATCAGGAGGTCAGGAGATCAAGACTATCCTGGTGAAACCCCGTCTCTACTAAAAATACAAAAAAAACTGGCCGGGCGTGTGAATGGCGTGAACCCAGGAGGCAGAGCTTGCAGTGAGCTGAGATAGCGCCACCGCACTCCAGCCTGGGCGGCAGAGCGAGACTCCATCTCAAAAAAAAAAAAAAGAAAGGCGCCACTTTTGCCCAAGGCCGCACAACACGTAGGTGGAGGAGCTGGGATTCTCCTGACCTGTAGTCCTAGGAAAGGAGGAGTAAGAAGGACCAACTGAGGCAGGAGAAGTGAAGCCACAAGACTTTCACTCCCCTTTCCCCTCTACCTTCTATCTCTTTCCTAATCACACCTTTCCAGCTAGCTGCCTCTGCTCAAAGACCTACTGTGGCTCCCTCTTCACTTTCAGTTAAACCGAAGCACTCACTGGCCTGTGGACCCCCCATATTTTGGCCCTGTTTCTCCTGCCTCTCTGCACTAATGATGTCTCTCAGTCCACAGATGGTCAGTTGGTCCCTGTTCCTGCTCTTCTCTTTACCAGGAGTGCCCTTGGCTGTCTCCACACCGCCCAGAAAACTTCTCACGTGTTTAAGATTTAACTCAATTTCTCTGGCCTTCTCTGGGTCTTCATATTGTCTGAGCGACCTCTCTTGCTGCTTGTATGACCATGTGCTGTGTCTACATTGTTACTGTCTCTCACACCTGACAGGGAGTGCCTTGAGGGTAAGACGTAGGTCCCTAGTGTCCTTGTTCCTAACGTTACCCAGCAAAAAGTGTGAAATCAGGAAAGGTTGATGGTTGGGTAGGGAGGTGGAAGGATGGATGGATACATGGATGGAAGAATGGATGGGTGGATGGGTGGCTGGGTAGATGGACGGGTGGATGGATGGATGGATGAGTTGATTGATGGATGGATGGGTGAATGGATAGATGGGTGGATGGGTAGATGGATGGATGGATGGATGGACGGTGGATGGGTGAACGGATAGATGGGTGGGTGGATGGATGGGTGAATGGATAGATGGGTGGACAGTGGACGGGTGAACGGATAGATGGGTGGGTGGATGGATGGGTGAATGGATAGATGGGTGGATGGGTGGAGGGGTAGATTGATGGATGGGTGGATGGATGAGTTGTTTGATGGATGGATGGGTGAACGGATAGATGGGTGGGTGGATGGATGGGTGAATGGATAGATGGGTGGGCGGTGGATGGGTGAATGCATGGGTTGGTTGATGCTGAGTTGTGGTTGGATCGATGACTGGATGGGTTGTTTAATGGGTAGATGTGGGTAGGTGGTGGATTGGTGAATGGACCGTGAATGGATATGGTTGGGGAGGGAGCCTTGCCTGATAAAGGGACAAGAGCCTTTCCTGATATTTCTCTGTGTCCTCGGCCTCACCCATGCAGCATGGTACTGGGGAGGTCTCAGAGACTCCTACTGAACAAAAGGAATGAGGGTGCCTGTGTCACTTCCCCGGGGCACCTTAACTTGTGGTTACACTTGGGAACTCCTTGGGGCAGGGGCGTCGGCTGGTCCATAGGACTATCCATAGGACAGTCGGGGTTCGCCCAGCTTGTGCATGCTCTCTGGATAGATAGGTAGATGATGAATGGGTGGTTGGACAGATGGTTGAGGCTGAGTGATAGGTACACAGATGAGTGGATGAATGCATTTATTGGCGCATGGATGGATGGGTGACTGAATCCATCTCTCAAATAGGGGTTTGGTAAAAGAATTAAACTCTACTATCTTAGGACATTTTATGTAGGTAAATAATTAACTTTTTTTTTTTTTTTGAGACGGAGTTTCACTCTTATTGCCTAGGCTGGAGTGCAATGGCACAATCTCGGCTCACTGCAACCTCTGCCTCCTGAGTTCAAGCAATTCTCTTGCCTCAGCCTCCCAAGTAGCTGAGATTACGGGCATGCGCCACCACACTCGGCTAATTTTGTATTTTTAGTAGAGACGGGGTTTCTCCATGTTGGTCAGGCTGGTCTCGAACTCCTAACCTCAGGTGATCCGCCAGCTTCAGCCACCCAAAGTGCTGGGATTACAGGCATGAACCACCACACCCAGCTAGAATTAACTTTTCTCCTATGCATCCAGAATGCTTCCAGTTATATATTATTCTTTGTGAGATTCGAAGAAGTAGTCACCCCAGTTATACGCTACATGCTGTGGTTCAGTGGAGGAACTGATGTAAGAAAGCATGAACATCTGTTTGCATAGGTGAAGCGTAAGCTAACATGAAGCTTGACATAAAATGCAAAAGTAAGCACCTGTAGTTACTGTTACTTTTGGAAATCCTGGCTGAGCACAGTGGCTCATGCCTGTAATCCCAGCACTTAGGGAGGCCGAGGTGGGAGAATTGCTTGAACCTGGGAGGCAGAGGCTGCAGGGAGCCAAGATCAAGCCACTGCACTCCAGCCTGAGCAGCAGAGCGAGACCCCATCTCAAAAAAAAAAAAAAAAGAAAAGAAAAGAAAATCCCTTATGAGGTCGGGCATGGTGGCTCACACCTGTAATTCCAGCACTTTAGGAGGTTGAGGCAGGTGGATCACCTGAGGTCAGGAGTTCGAGACCAACCTGGCAACCATGGCGAAACCCCATCTCTACTAAAAATACAAAAATTAGCTGCGCGTGGTGGCGTACACCTGTAATCCCAGCTACTAGGGAGGCTGAGGCAGGAGTATCACTTGAACCTGGGAGGCAGAGGTTGCAGTGAACCCAGATCGTGCCACTGCACTCCAGATTGGGCAACGGAGCGAGACTCCATCTCAAAAAAACAGAAACGAAAATCCTTTACGTAGCTTAAACATCTAGCACAGCTGCACAGGCCTCCACTCTTGGAGCCTCCACCAAAGACTCAGACCACACTGACTCGAATGTAGGCCCCACTTACAAGGAAAATGGGCCTATTGAAAACCAAAACTCTTGCTTACTGGGGAAAGCGAGCAGCTTCCAGCACATGAAAGACAGAGAATCTGAATTTGAGCAGAGGGACCCACAGGTTCTAGCTCTGGTAGCCCCCACAACCTCTGAGACCACCATGAGTAGCCAGGCAGAGCCACCCCCGTCGCTCTGTTGTCCAGGCTGGAGTGCAGTGGTACAATCACAGCTCACTGCAGCCTCGACCTCCTGGGCTCAAGCGACCCACCTCAGCCTCCCAAGGAGCTGGGACTACAGGTACCAGAGACGGGGTCTTCCTATGTTACCCAGGCTGGTGTCAAACTCCTGGGCTCAAGTGATCCTCCCGCCTGCAGCCAGAATGCTGGGGTGAGGGTCTGAGATGAGGGCCACCATGCCTGGCCTCCCTCTGCCTCTGTCTTCTCTGTGCCTGTCTCCCTCTCTCTCTCTTTGTCTCTGTGTCTCTGTCTCCCAGGTCTCTTTCTTTGTCCCTGTGCTTCTGTCTTTCCCCTTCTGCATGTCTGCGTCTCCCTCTCTCTTTTGCATCTCCCCGTTTCTGCCTCTCCCTGCCTTGCATTCCCAATCTGCTACCCATGGATTCCAGTGCGTTAACGGCACACACGCATGCACACACTTAGCAAATGGGGGCATGCAGGGACGAAGGAACAAGTGTGTGGGTCCATGTGAGGGGCAAGGGTGGGTGGACAGGGCTCCCTGCCTCTGCCTCCCAGGCAGAGAGCCCGGAACACAGGGATGGGGGGGGTTCCTGAGCTGTCACTCACTCCACCCTCCCTCCTGCAGACAACCCCTCGGCTCCAGCTGTCAGGACCGGACTGCAGTGTGCAGCTGCCTCTACATCCATGGCCAGCAGGACGCTCCCTGTCCCCCCTCCCTCCTCACTTGGATAAAAAGCAGATTTGTCTCAGCGCGGCATGTTTGTCTGGGAGAGGGACCCTGCTGGGGTGGGAATGGAGACAAGATGGCTTGCTTCCTTCTAGCACCCAGGTGGGCCTGGCCACACCTGAGGTGAGGCTGCCCCTGCCCTGGGGAGACCGGGAGCCCTGGGGATATAGGAGCCCAGCCTTATACTGGCCCCTTCTCAGAGGGGACCAGGGAGGGGCCTGGGGGATAAGGATCTCAGCCCAGACCCCTCCACTCTACCCCGACATCGCTGTGTGAGTTTGGGTTCTCTGAGAAGCAGACACGGGGACAAATTGGACTTGCAAGATATTTATTGGGGAAACACTTTTGAAGGGTAGCTTGGTGCAGGGAGAGGGAGGGAGGGATGGGTAGGACGAGTGTTAGACTGTAGCGAACCTCCAGGAAAATTGCCACTGGCCACTGGGGAGTTGGGAGCTGAAGTCATCGTCCATGAGGGAGGCCCTTGCCCTTTGAGAAGGCGCCTGTGCCCGGAACCCCCACCCCTTGCCTCGCCATGCTGTTACTGGTGGAGAGCAGCCCATGGTAATCTAGGTGTATCTGGGGTGGCGGTGGGGGGGTACTGTCGGTCACTGGCACTCCATGGAGGAGACTGAGGGGCACGTTTCCATGGCTGTGGCATGCTCCTGCCCCCGCCCAGTCCAGGCACCCCTCAGACCCCGTCACCCCCACATATCCCCAACTCCCTCGTTTCAGACCCGCACTCCAGCACTCGTACCTCTACCCCCTCAGTCCAGGGCTCCCATGATCACAGCCCAGGACACCCCCATGAGCGCAGATCCCCCTCAGCTCAGATCCTCCCCTCTTACCTCCCAGATCTCTCTCATTCTAGGGTCCCCCTCAGCTCACACCCCCATGGCCACAGCCTGGGGCCCCCTGAGCTTCCATCCCCAAACCCCCTCCAGCCCCCACCTGTTACCCTCGCCTCTGTGTGCGCCATGCCCCCTGCTCCCCACAGCTCTCAGCTCTCAGAGAGGAGAACACGCATCCGTCCACTGTATCTGTATTGAGCAGTCCCCGGGGGACGCCCCTAATCCTCGTCTTCCTCGCCCTCCGTCTCCTCACCCTCTTCTGTCCCTTCCCCCTCGGTGGCCCCCTCCGCATCCTTGGACTCTTTGGACAGGGTGACCGGCGCGCTGCCCGCAGACGGCGTCTTCTTGGTCCCTCGGTGCTTGGAGAGCAGCGAGACTGACTTGGACAGGTCGCACTGACCCGCCAGGAAACCAGGCATGTGCAGCACGTCCCGGCGCTTGGCCCACCTGCAGGGAGCAGACGGCTCA